AGTCCATAAAAAGCATAGAATCAGCTAATATAACATAAAAGCTTTCATTTCATTTAGTCAAAACGTTATCATTCCAGTAAAGGGCAATCTGAAGTACGGCTTTATTCACAATTACATACCCAACCTAACTAGACTGGAAGGGCTGGATTCTTGGTTTTGTTCTAGTTATTCCCTCCGCACTCATAAAACTTGGTAGAATCCATGCCCCTCCCCATGGACAGAAAACACCAGACCACACTTTCCAGACCCTGGGAAATAAATCAGTGTGCCCTCATCTCCATTTAAATCCCCATCTTGCCAAGAATGAATGGTTTATTGACTCAACATTTCCCCATCTGAAATTCAGTTCATGAACTAGGTTACCACCTAAAGGTGATTATGGCCACCTGAATGACTGCGGTTGTATTTCTGCAAATCTACGGAGACAGAAAGCACAGTGGCTGGCCAGGGCTGCAGGGGTTGGAGGGAAGAGCAGGCAGATGAATGGTAGTAAAAGCAGGTTCTATTGGAGATGACAAAAGTGTTCTCTGACTGCTGATGATGGCTGCACAAACGTGAACATACTGCACCGTGCAATTAGATGTTCTTAACGAGCAAGCTATCTAAGATAAGGTGAACTACATCTCAGTGACACCACTGTCTGAAAAACTGCATTTCTGCCCCACCCATTTAGTTTGTCAGAATAAGGACTCTATCTCAGAAAGCAGAAGTCAAGTTCAGAGGGGTATTCCCCAGCAACAAATCCAGAAATTGATTGTCAACACGTGAAACAAAGCCCAAACCCCTCAGACTGACAGCTTTTCATGGCTATGAAACCACATTAGGTTTGCCATAAGTCCACAAGAGTCACACATGAAGACCATTTGTAGTGGGTGGTTTTGTGTGTCAACTTGACACAAGCTAGAGTCATCAGAGGAAGTAGCTGAGGAAATGCATCCTTGAGATCCAGCTGTAAGGCATTTTTTCATTTAGTGATCAATGGGGGAGGGGGGAGGGCCCAGCCCATGGTGGGTGGTGCTATCCCTGGGCTGGTGATCCTTAGTTCTATAAGGTAGGCTAAGCAAGCAGTAAGCAGCACTCCTCCAAGGCCTCTGCACCAGCCCTTGCCTCCAGGATCCTGCCCTGCTTGAGTTCCTGTCCTTGACTTCCTTCAGTGATAAATAGCAAAGTAATGAAGTGTAAGCCAAATAAACCCTTTCATCCCCAACTTGCTTTTTGGTCATGGGGTATCTCAGCAATAGAAACCTTAACTAAAATACCATTGCCTTCAGCAAGCTTGTTATACAGACAGGGAGGCAGGCAGCCTCTTTGTCTGAGATGGAAACCTCACCTAACAATAAGTTCATAAAAACAAGAAAGACAGGCCAGGCGGTGGTGGTGCACACCTTTAATCCCAGCACTCGGGTGACAGAGGCAGTCGGGTCTCTGTGAGTTCGAGATCAGCCTAGTCTACAAGAGCTGGTTCCAGGACAGGCTCCAAAGCAACAGAGAAACCCTGTCTCAATAGGACAGGGACAAGAGACATTGGGAGACTATCATATGTTCTTCCTTTTCAACTATGTTACACCCCACCACCCCACTTGTGGTTCACATAACCACATTTGACACGAACACTATTACCAGAATTCTAGGATTGTGTCCATCAGTGACTAACAGACACTATTGGAGTCCCCAAGAGCTGGCAACATGCACCTCTGCCCCTTTTGCTTTCAGAAGCACCAAGTCCTGACAACCTTGAATGCTGGCATACTGCAGTACTGATGAAATTCACTGAGAGGTGCCAAGGGCCATGTTCCAAGTGTTGCCGTTGGAGGTGGTGGTTTTATTTTGTTGTTTTAACATTCACTGTGTCTTTTGGGCTATGAGAGGTCAGTGTGACTAGTTCCATTTACAAAGGAGGAGCTCAGACGTAGTAAGGTCAAATAATCAATAAGCATTGGGTCAAGATTTGAACCCAGGAAACTCCAACGCTCACCCATCCTCTATCACTTCTACAGAATGAAAAGGGAAACAAGACTCAAACACACAAAACTGGTCTGCCAGTGAGAAGCAGGGGTCCTGGGTGACTGAGTACTGCTCAAAAGGTCAGAACAAATCACCATCAGCAACGACTGGGAACTGACAAAACTGCACACCAAATGAGAACTCTCTAAATAGTAAGGTTTGTGTCTGTCTTTCTTCCTTGTCTATGTGTGTCCGGACATGCTTTGTCGCTTACATTCTGTGTCCATACCAGGGATGGAGAAACCAGATGGAGTTCAAGGGGTTTGTTTTTAAGGTGTCGTTTTATGTGGATTTTGGCAGATTCTCAAGCAGATTCAAAAGAAACATGAGAGAGGCTCTAGTTTAGGCTAACCTAGATGACAGCAATGTTGCTTTATTAAGTGGGGTAAGTGTAAGGTCTTTGGAATTTGACAACTTGTATTTGAGTACCTTGAACTTACCTTGGACAGGTCTCTGACTTCTTGGCTGCTTGTTGTCATCATTTACAAAGTAGAAATAACATTAAAATGATGTAGATAAACTCTGCCAACCCCTGGAGGCCATTTTTATTACCTCTGATTATATGTATAGATAAAGCAAATCTGAAGCCAGAGATCTGTAGAAGTACTAGTTATAAAACAAAACTAGTGCTAACTTTATAAGTGGACATAACTATGTATCTATTGTTAAGCTGTACTGAACAAACACTGGCTTCTCATTAACAGTAATGATCTGATTGAGGAAAATTACTACACAGGAACTAATATGGTATACAAAGCATCAGGCACCTCACGATAACACAAGGCCTAAAGCAGTGTGACACATCAGTCACACTCTGCTGAAGCAGAGAGGCACAATCTTAAAATGAAGAAGTCTTTGAACCAAGTCACAGAGCCAATCCATCCCAACATTGCAAAGATGCTTACTGTCCTCGGAAATAGTAAAAAACAAATTGCCAGTCACCCAACACACCTTCCTCAGAGTCAAGGCTCAGATATAATGCAAGTCCAAATTCTAGCAGGTTTGGTCCTGCAGGCTCCCTTCTGGGCAAGAAGGATAAAACAGACTGAGAGTTCTACACTGGTCAGAATTACATTTCTATCTCAGACCATGCAGCTTCAAAAGCTCAGAGTTAGTGATTCCCTAAGCCTGTGTTCTCATTAGCAAAATCAAGAGAGATACATGAGATTAGCACACAAACAAGCCGTGGCTGCCACAGAATTTTGTGTCTCTTTAGTCATAGGAGCAGCCAAATATCACTGCTACATCCTGGTATCCATTGCAATGCCCAGGAAACAGGAGGCATTTGCGATGTTTGCTGAGTGAAGCAGAGGATCAGCTTAAGCTAGCCTAAGGTCTGCCATGATGGTATGGAGCATGCTTTTAATCACAGCACTCTTGGGAGGCTGAGGCAGGGCGATGATAAGCTCCAGGCAAGTCTGGAGTACAAGGAAACCCTGTTTCCAAGAAAGCAAGCAAGCAAGCATAAGGGTCAAGCAAAATTTACAGACCCAACTTCTAAATGGACCCCAAATTTACTTCAAACTAGAGGACACTTGTTCCCTGAAACAAGGCAGGCCCTGGTCTTTGACAGAAGAAGCTGTTCCTCCCACTCAGGTAAGTCACAGCCTCCTGTAGAGACTCTGCCCTGGCAAGCCTCCTGATGTCAGCCTGGCGCTTTTATTTCACCCCCAGAAGTCTGGCACTTGCCCTGACATTCCATCCTCTCGCCCTTCCATTTTCAAAGCAACAGGCTTACTAAATGGCATCTTGGCCCTTAAGCTTTTCTTTAAAGAACCATTCTGGGGATCATTCTCACAGCTAGGACCCAACTCTGGTGAGGCAACCATTCTAAGCAGAAAGATAGCGTCTATTAGGAACCCATCACAGAGACAGGAAAAGTAAAGAGTCAAGACAATTCCACTATCCGCCTCCACTTCCTGAGTATCAAAATGAAAAGACCGCCTGAACTATTTTTAAAATGAACCCAATGAAAAGGTATCCTTCTCGCCCTGCAAGGTGCTCAACCCTAGAATGTTTGGATTTGACCATAAAGAGAAACTCTAGCCTTGCTCTGCAAAAGTTAGGTGGCACGAAAATTTTAATACACATAGACACCTTCTACAAAAAAAGGGGAAAAATTTTAAATGGCTTCCCAGAATCTCAGGGACCTTTAAGATGAGCTTAAACTTCTCTTTTCTGCGCGAAGGCTGAGGATGTCCCCTCTCAGCCTTTTGAATTTTCAAGGATAGCCGAAGGGGCGGGGGTGGGGGTGGGGGAGAGCAAGGGAGCGGGAGAAGGAGAAAGACGGATGTGTTCGTTCTATTTTTAAACCTTCGCCCACAGTTTAGAGTAAAGGAACACTCTGGTTCTATACTCCCACCCCTGTCACCTTCTGCTAAGCACAAGAATCAAAACCTGCACACGTACACCGCATTGCTATGTCTAGGGATGACTGTCAATGCTCCCAGGAATATAGCTAACCTAATCACTCCAACGCAGAGAACCCGGCAGTCCGGACCAGGCTGGAGCTGCATGCAGGGCTCGTGCAGAGCTCAAAGCAGTCGCCACCCTCCTCTTCCCAGGGATGGGCAGCGCCCCCTCGGTATGTTCCATTCCCAAGCCGGGGCAACCGGCTAGGCACCCGGGGTGAGCAACTCGCCCCCTAAGGACACCGAGCCGTGGAAGCGTCGAAGCGATGGGTTTCTTAGCAGGCTGCCGCAGGCTGGCCGCTCTGGCCTCAGGCCAAAAACACCTGTGTCGCACACACCCACCCTGTCCACAGTGCCACCCCGATTGATCACCTCCCGGCTGTCCCCGAATGCCGAGGACTGGTTGGCCAGACGCCTCCAAGGCAACTGTCTCGCTCTTTTCTCACGTTTTTCTCGCCCGAGGCGAGCTTCGACACCCGTCACTCAGCGCCCGGGGGGGGGGGGGGGTGAAAGCGGGCTGCGCGCGGGCAACCCAGAGCAGAATGCCGCCGCCCCGAGCCCTCCAGCGTGGCTCCGGACACTCACTCTTGAGCGCGCTAATGAGCGACTTCCCGTCCTTGATGAGCTCCTTGATGAATTTGTTGGTCTTGTCCAGCTCTGCTTCGTGTGACTTGAGCGTCTCTCGGAAGTGCGGGCTGTCGAGGCAGCAGTCGCTGAACTCCAGCGCCGGGAGCCCCATTCTGCCCGTGGAGCCGAGCTGAGGGGACGCGCCTCGCGCGCTGCTCAGCGGACACCCGCGACGACGGCCAATCCACAGGTGTGGCGCCTGCTCGCCCCGCGCGCGGGGTCAGAGGGAGCCGGAGACTCTGGACCTCAGCCGGGATTCAGCCGGACTGCGGGCGCTCCTGCGCTGAGCCACCGAGCGGCACGCGGGCTGGAGGCGCGGCTGGCGGACCCTCGGCGGCGCCGGGAAGCGAACGAGCGCGGCCACCGCCTCCCCGCCTCCTCTGCGGCTCACTGCTCAGCAGGCTCGAGCGCCTTCTCACAGAAGCCTCAGCCGACCCGCCGGCGTCCGGGCCGCCCGAACCTGCTAGCGATGACCTAATCCACTGCAGGGCCAATCAGCGTGCTTGCCTCTGCCCGACCCCCAGGGCCGCGCGAGGACGCCCTGCCCTTCCGCGGTTCTAGTCCAATCATATCTTTCTGAAGGCGGGGTCTGAGCATGGGGGCGGAGCTCACGCTAGCACTAGGTCCGCAGAGCAAGCCCCGCCCCCTCCCGCTCAGTGCTGGTTGCAGAACCAGAGCCCCGTGCAGCATTCTGTGATGGGTGCGCCCCTGCCACCTGAAACTGACCCACCCGGTGCTGCCCTAATCGGAGCCTGAAATGAGACGTCTGCTAATCTAGGGAACCGAAGAGCCTAGGTGTGCCAAGCAGGAAAAATCCCGAATAAGAACTGCTCTTCGTCTCAGCCCACCCAATACTCCTGAGAATTCCTGCTTGCACTCAAAATACAACCCCTTGCGCAGGAGAACTCTCAGCGCTCGGAGCTCCGCACGCCCCGCTTCCAGCCAAGTAGAACGTATTTGCTTCTTTAAATCACCAACTCTCCTAGCCTGCAGTCCTCTCGCCCCCTACTGTCCATCGCCCTCGCGGCCTCTCTGCTCGAAACCCGCCCACGGCTGCCCCCCACCGAAGGTTCTCACGTCCTTAGCAAGAATTTCAGCCGCCTCGTTTTCCTGCTGGGTTTCTAGCACCATTTTACACAATTCTGTCTAATGTCTGTCATCCTTCGTTGCTGCACAGCTTCCCCGGGGCACGTGCCGGCGCAGTTCTCTGCTCGGGTGTTGCAATCCCATCAGCTAGAAGAGCGAGTGGTATTTAAGAACAGAAAATGTGCACCGTGTGCGGTTGTACCTGATCAAGCATGTGTGCAGCCCAGGAATGCATTCCTCTCCACCTTCAGGGTGACCACCCTCGTCGTGATCAGTCACAGGAGTCAAGACTGACAGCTCACTCAGTGCATTTGGTAGGCTGGGTCTCAGTGTCTAGAACTGAAAGGGAAACTCTAGAGACTAGGGACTGACTCTGGCTAAATTATTTCTGTGTACAGTAACTAACAACAGACCTTCAGTTGTTTGGAGGTGCTTCTTTGTGTTTTCAATCGGTCTGCTACTGTACACACAGGACTAGACTCAGGATAGCACCAGGAGTCCAGAAAGAACTTGAATGGGCCTGTTCTAAAGAAGACACAACCAAGGAATAGCCTTGTTGCCTGATGTTAGGATAGAGCCCCTAGACACTTGGAAACAACAGAGAAAAGTTTCAGGTTCCCAAGTGTCAGAAAAGGAGCCCTAGTGTGGGAAATTAATTGATGTATTTATTGAATGAGTAAATACGATCAATTTCATAGTTTGTATCAACAAAGCCAGACTGGAGAGCAGGCCCAGAGAGCAGATAAACAACAGGTAATTAAACCCTGAAAACAGTCATCCCTCCCTTGCTATAGATGAGGAAAATCTAGAATGGAAATTCCATGGAAGTAAATCTGCATACAAGGCTTGAGTACCTAAAGGTGGGTACTCTGATTATCTATTGCTCTATGATGGCTCCCACAAAACTTTCATGTTTTAAGACATTGACCACCCCTGGGAAGACTCTAGGGATCCAGCTTGGGGGCTCTGATCAGTCAGTTACAGACACTGGAGCAGAGGTTCATCAACTGAACCACTACCACTCCTCAGGAAGACTGGAGGCTTCTCTAGGCATCTTCTGTGTGGCCTGATTCAGATTTCCTCAAGCCTGCAGCAAACAAGGAGAAACCATCACGTTTCGTGACCTAACCATGAATGTCATACACTTCTACTGCCTTCCTTGGCTGTAAGCAGGTCAGTCACAAGTTCACACCAATGAAAGCGGAGGGGGATCCAGCTGTATACCTAGATAGGAGAACGACATGAACAGGAAATAGTTTCCTGGCTGTTTCCAAACAATACATTCTGCCTTGGTAGACCTGGCATATCGTGTTGTCATTATCATTTATGCCCCGGCAATACTGAAGCATGCCTGGGCAGCCCGTTTATGGCGGTTCTCCGGTTGTTCTTATCCCGGGCAGTCCTAGATGCTTGTGTTATTGCCATACCCAAGGTTCCACAGTCTTCCTTTATGCTGTCTATCGGCGTTTTGGGGGGCTTTCCTCCTTGCCTTATCCCGTGCACTCCTCCAAGCAGTGCTATCTTCGAGTACTTGCCGTTCTTCATTCTCATAACATGGCCGAAGTATCTCAAGCGCTGTTGTTGTATCCTGTACTTTACTTCCTTCTGTAGCCAGGCTGCACAACAATGACAGGAAGAAACATGGCATATCGTGTAGTGTTCAATAAATGTTAAATGAGTGAAACAAAATGAGATACATTATTATGTGTTGAGAAACGTTGGGCAAATACGCATTCAACAGTACATGTATGTATAAATGATTCACTGTCATTTGTTTAATTTGTGGTGGGCACTGTTATACTTTTTGACATGTAATTGATGTCTACAATGTACTACATAACTTGAACCAGGTTACATAGACTGAGTAGTCTGTGTGGCACAAATATACTAACAAGCATGGAAATTAATGTGGGCATGTTACTGGAGTCCTAGGCTATAGGTCTAAAGCAGGTCCTAACTAGGTCCTGCCACTTGCCTCTCTCCCTACTCCCCCCCCACAATAGAGAAAATGGTGAGGGGAAAGAAAAAATAGCTACACCCAAATCTGTCTTCAGGGGTACACTGAACTCTCAGATGACACCGAAAAGAGCCAGAGGGGGAAGACAGGAAGCTTACATAGTTAAACAAACAGCCTGGAGTGAACTGTGTGCTACTTGATCATTATCTCAAGCATTAAGTAAATTGCTCTTGCCTGGGAGGTATCCTCAGCTCCCACCACAAAATGCTTATCCATCAGACTTTTTGATCCCTGTGAAACTCCAAGGTGACCAGCAGCAAGAGAATGGGTGCAAGATGGATGCAGAGATAACATTTCAGCCTTTTTACACTTATCCTTTGAGCACCTCTGGGCTTCTGCATGTCCAAGTGAAGAGTTGGTTCTTGTAGCGAAGGCAGTTCCTATGTCTTTGTTACAGCCATTCACAAATGTGTAAGCGTGCGGATAATGGAAAAGAGTCTTGTAAATTCAATCTAGAGTCCTGGCAAATGACTTCCTACTCTTTTGGCAGTGTTATGAGTATAGCGATACTGAATACAACATTTTGCATGTAGAAGGGCTGCCTGTGTCTTTCTTAGAAAGCAGGCCCAACAAGGAAGGGGGCTTCGAAGACACAAATGAACGGGATGCACGAGTAATAAAGAAACGAAAATAGGTGAAAGATGTTAAGGTCAGCAATGACTTTCATATGGAAAGGAAATGACACCAACACAGAGTGTCTCTGGCCCTAGCGCTGAACCTCTGTGTCTGTGGGATTTATCTGGTTGGTTCATTTGTTTATGTTTTGGTGGTGGTGGTGGTACTGGCGCTGTGCTGGTGCTATAGATGGAACACAGACTCTCCATCACCCCAAGCAGACATTTTCCATTGAGTTCTCCCCAGTCACCGTGTGGCTGCATTCTTTAGGGACTCTCTCAGCTTCAATTTGTATTCAGAAAACTTAGCTTTAAGTGAAGTAGGCCTATAATACCAATAGGCTGAGGATGATCTGGAGTTCAAGGCCTTTCTAGGTTACAGAATAAGTTCAAAGACAGCTTAAGTAAATTACTGAAGCCCTGTCTCAATTTTTTTAAGGAGGATGGAGGGTCTTGGTGCTGTAGCTCAATGAGAGAGTATTTGTCTTGGTTTGTTTTTTTTTTGTTTGGTTGGTTTTAGGTTTTTGTTTTGTTTTGTTTGTTTCTTGTTTTTTGTTTTCTCTGTCTAGGCCTGGCTGTCCTGGAACTCTTTCTATAGACCAGGCTGGCCTCAAACTCACAGAGATCCACCTGCCTCTGCCTCCTGAGTGCTGTGATTAAAGGCGCGCACCACCGCCTAGCCTGTTTTGTATATTTTAAGCTCCTGGATTCATCTGCCCTAGTACTACAAAAAGAATTAGTCATAACAGAGTTTTCTTCCTAAGATTGCAGAAGTGACAAAATCAAAGCCAAGGATAGAACAGACCCCCTACAAATACACGGAACACTAGGGAATTGTCCCCCAACACACACAGCTAAGCAAGGTGCTGTGGTTGGAGATGGGGGGCTTTGCACTGCACAGGCAGATGTGGCAGTGTGCAGTACACACAACCCTTCATCAGCCCCTCCCAACCACATTCCCATGGTGTCACGATTCTAGCCTGTACTTATTGTTTTATGGCTGGTACCATATGTATCTTCTCTTTGTAGTTGTAGAACAAGACACTAGTGTTCTGATTTTTAAAATAATGATTATTGCTTGTTGTAAATGTTCTGTATTTCAATTGCAATGTTTGTTACATGAGCACAGTATTTGTTAAAATTTATGGGTCATTTTAATACACACAAATTACACATCCTCACATGTAGTAGAAACTGTGTCAAACAATTACCTTTCATTTAACATTGATTACAATCCTGTGAAGTGGATACTGTTATTATCACTATTTTACAGATAAGGGAAACTGAGGTACTACCCCCATTTTACAGACAAGGAAACTGAGATTTGGAGAAGTAAGATATCTAAAGTTTCATAGCTTACTAGTAGAGCTTGGCTCAGACTTAGAATGTATCTCTCCAAAAACATCAGACAAACAAAAACACTATCTCCATACAGACACCTGTAATAAAAGTATCACACCTTGAAATGTGTTGTCTTAACAGTTTCCTCCCTGACTGAAACATTGCATCTTGCAGGGAGGTCCTTTAAGCAGAGAGGTAAACAATTCAAAATAGCTTCAAGAAGTCCTTGAAACTGATTCCCCAGTCCCCCCACCCTTCACCCAAGAATAAGCAATAAGGCTACCGAAAGTCACTCTCAGACAAGTAAAGTTGCAAAGTATGCTCTGAGACCAGACCAGCTGCCTGGAAGAAGCAGAAACCAGCGGGGGTTCCTGGAAGAGGTTTAGACCAACCGAA